ACAGAAAAGTAAACTACAAGCCAATATCTCTGAAAAACATGCATGCATGAGTCATCAATAAAATATCAGCAAACCAAATTCAGCAATACATTAAAAGGATCATACACCATAATTAAGTGATCCAAGGATGGTTCAACATCTGCCCACACGTAACATTATACTCGAAGGTGAAAGGCTGAAAGCGTTTCCTCTAAGATCAGGAACAAGAAAAGGATGCCCACTTGCACCACTTTTATTCAACACAGTATTGGAAGTCCTAGTCAGAGCAATTATGCAAGAAAAAGAAATAAAAGGTATTTAAATCAGAAAGGAAGAATTAAGTTTGCCCTTATTTGAAGATGACATTATATATAAAAAACCCTAAAGACTCCACCAAAAAAATTAAAACAAAAAGAAAGTGTTGGATCTCATCAACAAATTCAGTCAAGTTGCAGAACATAAAATTAATATACGAAAATCACTAGCATTTCTATACACTGACAACAAAATATCAAAAAGAGAAATTAAGAAAACAAACCAGCCCTGGCCAGTTTGACTCAGCAGTTAGAGCTTCAGCCCATGGACCAAAGAGTCACAGGTTTGATCCCAATCAAGGGCACGTACCTCAGTTGCGGTTCTGTTCCAGGCCCTGGTCCGGGTCACGTGGGAGGCAACCAGTCATTGTTCTCTGTCTCTCCCACCACTGTCCCCCCAAACACATCAAAAATAAGTACTTAGGAATAAATTTAACAAAGAGATAAAATATCTGAACACTGAAAACTATAAGATATTGAGGAAAGAAACTGAAAAAGACAAATAAATGGAAGGATACTCTGTGCTCATGGACTGGAAGAGTTAATGTTATTAAAATGTTCATACAATCTAAAGCAAACTATAGATTCACTGTAATTCCTATCAAAATTCCAATGGTATTCTTCTCAGAAATAGGAAAACAAACAAACAAACAAACAACGCCCTGGCCAGTTTTGCTCGGTGGTTAGAGCGTCGGCCCACAGACCAGAGAGACCCGGGTTTGGTTCCCACTAAGGACACATACCTCAGTTGCAGTTTGTCCCCAGCCACAGTTGGGGTCGTGTGGGTGGCAGCTAGGCGATGTGTCTCTCTCACATCAATGTTTCTCTCTCTCTCTTCCTCCCTCTCTCCCCCCACTCTATCTGAAGATAAATGCAAAAATGTCTTCGGGTGAGAATAAAAAAAAAAATCCTAAAATTTGTATGGAACCACAAAAGACCCCGATAGCCAAAGCAATGAGAAAAAAGAACAAAGCCAGAAGCATCACTAATTTCTGATTTCAACCTCCATCATGAGGCTCAATAATCAAAACTGTATGGTATTTGGTATAAACACAGATATATATGTATACATGGTCAATTAATTTTTGACCAAAAAGCCAAGAATATAAAATGGGAAAAGGATAGTTTTTCAATAAATTGTGTTTAGAAAACTTGCAGCCATGTGCAAAAGTATAAACCTGGACACCTATCTTAAATCAAACACAAAAATCAACTCAAAATGGTAAAGATGTGAACATAAGCTCTGGTCTTGAAAATGTATACATCTATCGTATCATCGCATTGTTCACTTTAAATATCTTTTAAGTTTTTTTGGTCAATTACCTCACTAAAACTGAAAAAAATCCAATCCTATAGTAACTAAAACAGGATTTGACACTACTGCATGAAATAGAAGAAGAGTTCAAAAGAGCAGTGGCCTACATGTATATGTGCTTATTTGTGTGTGTGTGTGTGTGTGTGTGGTATGTGCTCCTAGCGGGAACCAAACCCAGGACTCTCTGGTCCGCAGGCTGGCGCTCAACCGCTGAGCCAAACTGGCCAGGGCTGTGCCTTATTTTTCAAAAACAGTTTTGCCTATCTCCATTTACTGCCAAAGTATCCCTTAAGAAGGGAAGACCCCAATCCCTAACGTTGCAGTCAGGAAGGCATTAGATCACTAGCTGACAGTGGTTCTACATCCACTGACCCTCCCACACCCTCAGAAGGCGGGTTGACCTCCACAGGCCATATAACCTACACTCCTTCACCCTACAGCTTCCAGTTTCCACTTGGGTTTGGCCAATATAGTAGACCAGTGGGCAGAAGAGGGGAAAGAGAGAGGCCAGTGTACTTAACATCCTTCTCCACCTGCCCCTTCCTGATGCTCTGGCAAAGGGTGCATTCTTCCAAGAATACAGCAGCTCTGGAGGGCAGCCCCTCTTCCAGTACTCCAAATCCAACTCCCTTACCCCGAGGTTCTAGTACTACAGACCTTTCCCTGCTCCTTCAGACCAGGGTAGGGATGGTTCCCCAATGATGCTCTTCCCAGGGTGCCCCACCATCACTTGTTGACTCCCTGAATCCTACTCACTCTTCTACAAAGAATCCCCTCATAAATTCTTTTCATTTTTGCGCTTCCTTCAGTTGGGATCCCAACTGATATGTTTGCCCACCAAAATCTCACAGTAAATTAATGGTACAGTCAGGACTAAACATTTTCCTTGGCTTAAGTTATGCCTCTCTTTCAATCCATCTCTCCCACAAGCAAATTGTAAAATGAGTCTCTTTATAGTGTTGTAGCTCACTGTCCTTAGAATCCACCTTGTCTTTGAGCTGCCCTAATTAACCTCAGGGACAGCAAGAAAAGGGGGGAATGTTATAGACGGCTTTAGCCTCATAAAAATTAACCAGAGTTTGACCTTCACTGGGAATTTGAAAAGCAACATCCTTCAGGAAAAGGGAGGACAGAAACGGCCCCAAGGCCAGAGTGTCCTGCATACTCTGTAAAGAAACATAGGGAGAAACTGAAGCTCCCTTTACCCCATAAAACTGTAACTGTTAAACATATATGTATTGCACCTGACTAACCGCTGATATCCGTCTCGAATTTGTTAGTTTTTAGAACTTAGATAATAGAATGAATAGCAGGATAAATGTATGCTGACCCAGTTCACCCAGTTCCTTTTCGCCTCAGCTCCCTCCCACCTCCGTTCCCTCCTGCTTATCGCTAACTGCCTCTGCTTCTGTACAAGCAGCTTGCTTGCTCTGCTAAACTCTTGAATGACCCCTGCCCTATATAAACAACCCTCCCCCTGAGCTCGGGGCTGCAGTTCTCCTCTGTGTAGGTTGGCTGCAGTCCCTGCGCAGGTAATAAAGCATCCCCAAACACTGAAAAATTGAGTCTGAGTGTGGTCGATCTCCTGGGTTACAATAGCATGCTAGCAATAATTTTGTGATTTCCATTAACCCAGTGGCTCTCAACTGACACTTCTGATCATCGTGATGTGGAGGCAGGAAAGTGTGTCACGAACGTTGCTAAACATCCTATAATGTATAGGAAAAAATCCCCATAACAAAGAGTTATCCACCCCAAATATCAATAGTGCCAAGGTTGAGAAACACTGGGTTACTTACTCATCTTGCAGAACGAACCACAGCCATGATAGACCTGCCTCCTCTTTCCTCCTCTCTAAAATGTTCAGAGATGCCTATAATCATTGCCCCAAAGCTCCAAAACCCTGGCATGAGTATAGAGAAGGATTAGAGAGAACAACCTTCTCAGAGGAGGCCAGGTTCCTGAATGGTCTAAGGTTAAAGATAAAGTGGCCCTTTCCCCCACACCTTTGCTTCCCTTTCATGGAAGAAGTTGGATACTTTAGGGCCAATCAAGGAAAATAAAAAGACTACATGGGACAAGGTCTGGAAATATATACATCAAAATATTAACAGTAATTATGTCTTTGAATGGTAAAATATATAGTGATTTAGATTCTTTTGCATATCTATATATTTTAAATTTTTCTATAAAGGTTAGTTAACATTTGTATAATTAAAACTCTAAAAAATTTTTATAAAATATGCCATATCATTGACTCCGTCCCTCCCAGCCCCAATGTGTCAGTTTTCACATAGCAATATACCAGTGTGCTCTAATAATAAAATCCACAGAAAATTGTCCTTACAAACGATTATCAGGAAAGGTTCTGCTTCCTTCACGGCCATTAATGTTTGAGGGATGAATGAAGTTGGTAGTATGATTTACTTTCAAATGATAAGAACTATGCAACTGACCAAGTTTACCTTCCTAGAGACAAATTTAAGACTCAACAACAAACAATATAGACCTGCACGGTCCTATAAGGTAGCCACTAGAAAGATGTGATATTTAAATGTAAGTTAATAAAATATAGAACATTTGCATTATCACAAAAAGTTTTATTGGACAGGACTGATACACTTTCTTTTTCCCTACCCCAATTATCTTCTGTTCTTACAGTGTCTCTGCTCTCAATATCGAGTTATATTTATTTTATATTTATTTGTTACTATTCTATGTAGTTTTGTTGTAAACTACCTTAATTCCTTTGTGGAACATTTCAGGGTATCAATAATTTCACATATCTGTGTATAACAGATCAATAATTTGACATATCTGTTGTTGCTGGGAGATCAGTCTTCGTTTTTATTAGAGTGCACTTAGTTCATATAAATGCTCACAACAACATCTATGAAATACCTAATATTTTCCAATTTCCAAAGAGAGAGCGCGACCAGGAGACGTTAAGTGTCTTGCGCAGTACTTATTACCAAAGGAGTAGAACACCAACCCGTTGGTATGTCCTCAGATTCCCTGAACTAGAGATCCCTCCCCTCTCTCAAAGCCAAGGGCTTAGACTAGCTAGGAAGGAGCAGCCGAGTTATGTCTACATAAAAACCGAAACCATAAACATTTTGTAAATGAAATACAGATTTCATTTTTCCCATAGTCTTTTGTTTACTTTAAAAAGCACCTCCCTAGGGGAGCACGTCTTGATCTCTGGCGGCCAGGCCCCAGCGGAGATAAGTGTGCGGTACCAAGACGGTACCAGAGGCTCTAGGCCCAGGTCCAGCCCGTGCCTATCAGCGCCAGTTTCCCTCTGGCATTGTTTTCAAGATCCTGCCAGAGGGTTTTCTAAAACCACAAATGACCACCCCCCCACCACCACCACTCCCCTGTTCGTGCCTTACCTGCAGCTGGGAACAAAGCACAACCTTTTCCAGCAGCCTCCAGGTTCCGCCAGCGCCCTGCGAACTGGCCGGGAGCCGACAGGGATTGGCCGCCTGGGTGGAGGAGGTGGGGCGCCAGGCGGCGGAAGAGAAAGCAAGGAACCTATGAGAGGAGGAGATACTGCCAGCGCCTTGCTCAGTTAACGGAACTCCTAGGGTTGTGAGCATGGTGTGTGAACATGCCAGGGTCATGGTTGTAGCCGTGCTCTTGCCCTGTTCTGTGCGCCCTGCTTGGTAGCAGTGAGGGGCAGTGGACGTATTAAACAATAGAGTTTTAACTCCCCAGGGCTGAAATTCCTTTTAAAAGAAAGGGTTAGGCCATTACTAGCAAAAAAAAGAGGACGGGTCCAGCATCATAGCTAGGTAGAAAGAAATGTCCAACCTTAGGAGTTTTGAAAGCATTTTTTAATATGTTTTTATTGATTTTTTTTTTTTTTTTTTTTTTTTTTTTAGAGAGAGGAAGGTATAGAGAGATAGAAACATCCATGTGAGAGAGAAACATTGATTGGCTGCCTCCTGCATGCCGCCCACTGAAGATAGAGCCCACAACCTGGGCATGCATGTGCCTTGACCAGGAATCCAACCAGGACCTCTCAGTCCATGGACCACTGCTCAATCCACTGAGCCACACCAGCAGGTCTTATACATCAAGTAGTGGAGAGAAAGATGTAAGCCATTCTGAAGGAATTTACATTAGCTATAGACAAAAGGGGTGGGAGAAGATGAAGCAGAGCTAGTTCTGGGATGGATGCAGCAAAGTCCACAGCACAGTGAGTCAAGCTAATGTGTAAAGAAGCCAATGCTCCTGGAGTTCCAAAATGCCTGGCTATCCTTTCTTTTGGATAATCACAGACATAGCCACCTGGAAATTACTTCTAAATTCCAACAGATATAAATGAATGTGAAAGACTTGTCAGAGCTGGCCCACAGCTAACAGGCTAACAGTTCTGTCTCTCACCCTCCAGCTCCTGTAATTTTAATTTAGAACATCTTATAGTTTTTTTCTTGTCAGGCACTTGCCAATTGGAAAGGGAGGGTTGTCCCTAGGCCCATACTCTGGGGCCTTTGGAGGTATCAGAAACTCTCATATTGTGCTCTGCCAGAAGTGGGATGCAGCCCTCTTCTCTGACCCACTCCAACCACATGGAAACTGTTGGATACTTTGTGGGTTAGTAGCCAGCAGTCCCTATTGAACAGGCAACAGAGTTGCTTTTTGTTTTTTCATGGTTTTTTTTTTTCCTGTGTGTGTGTGTACAGTAAAATACACATGAAATTTACCATCTTAGTCATTTTTACATGTGCCATTCAGTGGTATCGAATACATACACATTATTGTGAAAAAAATCACCATGTCTTCCTCATAACTCTTTTTATCTTGTAAAATTGAAACTATTTAAAAAGTTTCATTGTGATACTGTTGTAATAACCTGGTAATTATTAACAGAAAGGAGCAAAGAGGAGACTAGATAATATAGGCATGCCATTTGTACAGCTTTGCTGGGAAGTTGCAGTTTAACATTCTCCAGGTCTATTCCCCACGGATTGCTTGGGGAAGGGACTGAATGAACAACAGACACATGCCCAGTAAGGTCTGGGTGATGTAGGAAAGTGCTTGCCTGTCAATCACATTCGGAAACAGCTATTTGGCCAGAATAGGCATGGCCACTGCAAGGGCACAAAATCTGAGGTGCTAAGCTCCTGAACAAAGGGAGTTCTCCCATTCTTGCTCTCTTGCTACTTGTGCCTGACTCTTGGCTTGTGGGACTCTCATGCTCTACACTCACCCACATAGCCCATAGCTATGTGGACCCCACACACACACACAATGAACTATAATAGACTGTGGTTAGCCTGATGCTACGCTGGACTTACTCCACCATGGAATGGAAACTTTGGATGCTGGCTTTGCCTTTAGTTCTGCTGAAACCCCAGCTGAATATCTTCCAGGACAGGTTTAAGGGAACTGAGACTTTAAAAAACAAGGGATATAACTTCACACAAATGAAGATCATTCATTCTCCCATGTGAGTCTTAGAAAATTTTTTTTCTCAAGATATCATAAGAACCTGACCCTCAGCAGCCCGACCCTCAGCACCCAGTGGAGAAAGGGATCTCCTACTTCTACCGGTGGACACTCCACTTCCAATAACAATTGGACAACAATTGACCATTATTGTTCAATTGGAGAGTTATTGCACAACAATGGCCCTGACAAGCCATTATAGTTTCCATCTTTATGTTTTGATTGCTCTGAGGACCTCATAAAAGAGAAATCATACAATATTTGTCTTTTTGTGACTAAGCAGAGTGTCCTTCCTTTTTAATGCTGAACAATATTCTTTTAAATGTATATCCACATTTTGTGTATCTATGCGTCCATAGTTTAATGACTGTGAATAATGCTGCTATGAACATGGACAAACAAATATATCTTTGAGACCCTGATTTCAATTATTTTGGGTGTATACTTAGAAGTAAAATTGCCGGATCACATGGTAATTCCATTTTTAATTATTGGAGGAACCACCATATGGTATTCCAGAGTGACTGTGCTATTTTACATTTCCACCCATAGTGCACACATTTTCCAATTTATCCACATTCTTGCAAATACTGGTGTTCTGTTTTCTTTTTTTAATCATTTTTTTTTACTTTCAATTACAGTTGACATACATTATTATATTAGTTTCAGGTGTATACCCCAGAGAATAGACATTACATAACCTACTAAGTGATCATCCTGACAAATCTTGCACCCATCTGTCACCATACATAGTTATTAGAATATCATTGACTTTATTTCCTATGCTGTACTTTACATCCCCATGACTATTCTGTAACAACCAATTTGTATTTCTTAATCCCTTCACCTTATTTACCTATTCCCCAATTCCCCTTCCATTTGTGAACCATCAAAACATTCTCTGGTGCAGCCACTATGGAAAACAATATGGTGTTACCTCAAAGAATTAAAAATTGATCTTCCATTTGACCCAGTGATCCCACTTCTAGGAATATACCCTAAGAAGCATAAAACACCAATCAGAAAGAATATATGTACCCCCATGTTTGTAGCAGCACTATTTACAATCGCTAAGATCTGGAAACAGCCCAGGTGTCCATCAGTAGAAGAATGGATAAAAAAGCTGTGGTACATATACACAATGGAGTACTACACAGCGGTAAGAAAGAAAGATCTCTTATCCTCTGAGACTACATGGAGGGACCTTGAAAGTATCATCCTAAGTGAAACAAGCCAAATAGAGAAAGACAAGTTTCATATGATCTCACTTATTTGTGGAATATAATGAACATAACAGTCTGAGGAATGGGGTAGTCCCAGAGACGCGGAAGCGGGGTACAGACTGACAATCCCCTAAAGAGGGGCGTGGTGGGGGAGGGATGAACCACAGAACTTATATGCATGTATGCATGAACAGTGGACATGGACAACAATCTGGGGAAAGGGCAGGGAGGGAGGGGGAGGGGGGAATCAGTGGGGAAAAAAGGAGAAACATCTGTAACAAAAATTAATTAAAAAAAAAACACATTCTCCAAATCTGTGAGTCTGTTTCTGTTCTGCTTGTTTGTTTATTTTGTTTTTATCTTTTTCTCTTCTTCTTAAAGAAGATCCTTTAACATTTCATAAAATACTGGTTTGGTGGTGATGAACTCCTTCAGCTTTTTCTTTTCTGGGAAGCTCTTTGTCCTTCAATTCTAAATGGTAGCTTTGCAAGATAGAGTAATCTTGGTTGTAGGTCCTTGCTTTTCATCACTTTGAATATTTTTTCCAATCCCTTCTGACCTGCAAAGTTTTTTATTGAGAAATCAGCTAACAATCCTATGGGAGCTCACTTGTAGGTAACTAACTGCTTTTAAGATTTTCTCTTTGTCTTTAAACATTCGCATTTCAATTATGATGTGTCATGGTATGGGCCTCTTTGGGTTCAACTTGTTTGGGACAGTCCATATTTCTTAGACTTGTATATCTATTTCCTTCACCAAGTTAGGAAAGTTTTCTGTCATTATTTTTTCAAATAGATTTTCAATGTTGGTATGCTTGAAGTTATCCCAGAAGGTCTTTATGCTATCCCCCCCCCTTTTTTTTAGATTCTTGTTTCTTTTTGCTGTTCTGATTGGGTGTTTTTGCATCTTTATATTACAAATTGCTGCTTTGATTTTCAGTTTCATCTACTCTACTATTGATTCCCTGTAAATTATTCTTCATTTCAGTCAGTGTATCCTTCATTTCTGACTGGTCTTTTTGAGGTTCTCACTAAGTTCATCGAGCATCTTTATAACCAATGTTTTGAATTCTGCTTCTAGTAGATTGCTTGTCTCCATTTTATTTAGTTTTTTTTCTGGAGTTTTGTTCTGCTCTTTCCTTTTGGACATGTTTCTTTGTCTCCTCATTTTGGCAGCCTCTTCTATGTATTAGGTACAGCAGCTACCTCTCCCAGGCTTGGTATAATGGCCTCCTGTATTAGGTATTCTGCAGGGTCCAGTGGCACAACCTCCTCAATTATCCAAGCTGGGATCTGTACACCCTCTTATTATAGTTGAGCCTTGATTGCCTTTGGCTCATGAACGGAAGGGATTTGCCACAAGGTTTATCAGCTATAGGGACCACTGACCACTGTGGAGGATTGGCTGTGCAGGGGCCCACACACAGAGCAGGATTTACTTCAGTGGGGCCCTTGATTGTGTTGCTCACAGAGGTGGTTAGGTGGTATTTTGTCATGGTCTGAAGCTGTCCACCAGTTTTGCTGGCTTTGAGGCCTCCCAAGAAGTGCAGGTCAAGGTCAGTCACTGCCTATATTCTGCCTGAGGCTGCCCAGCATGAGCTACAAAGCAATCTGCAGATGGCTGCTACTTGTATTGGGCTTGGAGGTGCCCAGGAGAGGCCAAGCTGCAAACCAAGGCCAGCAGCTGCTACTGTTAGGCATGGAGCCACTTATTGTGAGGTACGGGTCACACTAGGGTCAGATGCTGCATTTTTTTTTTTTTATCCTCACCCGAGGACATTTTTCCATTCTTGTTCTGATAGAGTGGGAGGCAGGAAGGGAGAGGGAGAGGGGGAGGGAGAGAGGGAGGGGGAGGGGGAGAAAGAAACATAGACGTGAAAGGGACATTGAGTGGCTGCCTCCTGCACAACCCCAACCAGGGCCAGGGACAAATTGCAACTGAGGTAC